TCAATAAAGTCATTGACGAAATGGTATATACCCCTTCTCTTGACCGCTCTTTACAAAACTAACATTTTACAGATTAACCTCTATGAGCCAGCGATTCTTGTCGTTGGTACTCGGGGTCGCAGTCTCGGCGGCTTCCAAGGCTTACTACCTGGATCCGTATCCAAATACTGTTTACAGCATTCGCCCGTCCCAGTAATTGTGGTTCGTCCTTCCTACAAACGGGACAAAGCAAGACATAAACGCGCACAAGACCCTAACAGACATGGCTACAAAGAGCTATTAGAGAAGAGCGGTGCGCAAGGCGGCCATATTCTCGACCTTGACCACGGCACTCTTATCTCGGAAGGTACAACTGAACCGGCTTCCAACGACGAGGCTGCGGCAGTGGCCGCAGCGATTGGCTACCGACAAACTCTGGAGTCAAGTCCTTTGTCCCAGGTTGAAACCCATAAGGGCCATTCAGCAGATGGGGAATCTAGCTCTGCGTCCGGACCAATAAGTGGCCAGACCGGAGACGAAGCATCTGCTCCGCATCATTTGTGCAGCCCTGGCATTGTAATGAAGAGTCCTGAACTCCTGAATCTGGATAGTCCCGAAATTAGCGATGAGAGCAGTAGTGACGAAGAGTCGGAAGAGCGTGGGGAACCCCGGAGTTCGCAATCAACTGAGAACACCGACGCCACATTAACAGCAGCTGAAGAACCGGATAGAGCGGACGCGAAGTCTTCTAAGGAAGATCCTGAGTCATCACCAGAAGAGAAGAAGACACCAGACGTCTGAAATAAGGACTCTATTTTACTGTACTAGAATGCCATGGGTAGAATGGATTGAGCAAGGGGAACCGGCTTTGTTGAAACTGCTGAGCCCCGTCTCTCTATATTACGGCTTTTACGAAGTTTCTTAGGTTCACGTAAAGCTATGGTCAAGCTTGAAGTGATGAGTTATGATATATACATTCTCACATGATATTGACCTACTTTCTCTTATATAACCTAGTGGCCGACTTTGGTTTATTTATAACCTAAAATCTTATTCTAAATATTTGATACTTCACTTTTTATGTTTGCAACGTGCCGTGATGGTCCCATCGAGTGATGAGGAATTCATGAGCGCCTCCAATACCTAACGGATATCATATTTATGCGCAAGGCCATCAGATAGCTGAAATCCAAAGCATATACAGGCTCTCGGGTACAGTAATTGCATTCGCTCTAAATTAAAGACAAAAGGACAAGGCTTACCAGCCGGCGTTCGATTTATCGAGGAGGAAGAGTGTCTCACGGGTTGCTGGCACAACTGGTGTCCCTCATGTCCATCTGTATGACGTCGTAGCTATCAGTCTTGGCAAATCCAGGTACCTCCGCCGGGTGCATCCTAGGAACTCCCGTCTTACGATTGTCACCCATCCTCTAGACTACACCGGGACTCGTCGTACTGGACACCTTTCCTTGACACGAACCCAGCTCGATGGAATCTCTTCAGAGTACTTTCTCACCTTGAGCGAATCAAGCAACCGTCACAATACCTATCACTCGAGGCGATCAACCTTATGCTTCCTTCAGACGACTGCGGTGACTGCGTGCCGGATTGGGTCCAGAAACGACCTTCTGCGCTTAACGTCTCCTATATCCCTTTTATTCTCACATTCATCATTGTCGCGACTGCTGTATCCCATAAGCTCTTCCCTATACTGTCAGGTCGTCCACACCACAAAGACCAGGATGGGTCGGTACAAAATCTATTCCCCCTGCGCGATAGGCCTTCAATAGGTAAATACCTGAAACTCTCCTCACATACGCTTGCTAGCATTACATTTTCAACAAACATCGCTCTCTCGGCTGTTCTCGTAGAACTACTCCTATGCGAAATTTCCAATACCGTGAACCGCGCCGTACGGACAATAGCTCTTAAAGTCACCCTTCCGTCCCTCCTCTTCCTCCTTATCATTGCCACACCTGCGTTGGAAATACACTCAGTTATATCAGGGGCCGGATGGAGCTTTGGTGGAGGTGGCAGAGGTCAACGGCGGATCGCATGGCTACTCGAAGTGCTAGGACTGTCTATCTGGTTGGCAGGCTTCTGGTATCTTGGGAGCGGACTTCTGGGATCTTATCTACACGAGGAGTCGTATGTACGCGACCACAGCCTGAGTGAGGGTTGCCTAGAGAGGATTGGGATCATTGGGGTGAGCCTGATGGCTTCGCTTGCTGGATTCGCCGCAGTGAGTTCGCTATGGCAGACATTTGTGGTCAAGAATCGACCGGTAGGTCCTGTTTGGTTCTTTCTGAGAGAGGAATGACTCCTTCATGGATTTTCAGGGCTCGTAGAAGCAGCTAATCCCACTAACATTGTATCAGGTCACCGAGTCGGACATTGCTCGAAAACAAGCTGGACTTGATGCGACTAATGAAATGCTTTTAGCAAAGCAAAGTCGACTGCGTGCTCTGGAGCGCAGGATATCCGATGCACCACAAGAAGGCTTCCTCACGAGCCTAGTGGGCAGTATTAGAGGTAAACCAGATGTTCAGGAGCGAAACACACTCGAACTCGAGATCCAAGGCTTGGAGACTATGCGCACATCACTGTCAAACTCGCTTCTATCCGTCCAGAACCGGCGTCAGAGCCAACTTCAGGCTCATACTGCCCAAGGGCGGCTACTCAATCTCTTCTCTTATGGATTCTCTCTATACTGTTTGTACCGAATCTCTGCCACTGCGTTCACGACCTTACGGCGTTTTTCTTCTCCAACCACTAGCTTCTCCAACAGCGACCCTATCAACAATTTCCTCGCGCTCCTTGCAAAACACTGGGACCCGTCCATTGATCGGGTAGCCTGGAGTCGGCAAATTTCCTTCCTACTCTCCGGTGGTATGCTGTTGGCTTCGTTCAATAGTGTCCTCCAGACTTCCCTTCTCTTTGCTCGTGTTATTCCGGGAATCCTTCATCATGCTCGAGCCAACTTTGCCCTTCTTATCTCGCAAATCAGCGCGACTTATGTCATCAGCTCAGCTCTCCTACTCAGAAGCAACCTCCCTCTCGAAATGAAAAGCGCAATCTCTGACGCACTGGGCGCACCTCTCGAACCTGGATTTACCGAGCGGTGGTTCGAAGGTTGGTTCTTGGCAATCAGTGCATTAACAGCGCTGGGGCTTTGGGTTGGGAAGAGAATCCGGGGTTCTGGCTGGGATGATGAGGGTGATCTAGGAGATGGAGACGTTGAACTGGGGAAGATGAGTTGACAGCAGCATTAGCATCTTATTGGCGTCTCGGGCATTGGATAGGACAATAGGAGGAATTCGGGACAGGTATTAACATAGCATATGGATAGAGCTGGATTATCGGCGTTAACACAATACCACGGTATTCGGATAGCATTTGATACGCATGAAAATCCGGCCATGCTTTATTTAAGGCCGCATTCTTGTGACATCGAGTAAGAGACAGAAGCCGCAACTCTATGTAACAGCAGAAGGTTACAGATATGACCTTACTATTATTCCTCCTTACAGTCAGACGTTTTCTTTTTCAATTCGCGGCAGGTGAATAAAGTTTACTACGGAGGGGAATTGAGTACCTAAGATGGCTACATCTGACGGACATGTATTCACAAGGCACCGGTTGAATTCGAATGTTCAATTCCTGATATCGGGCATCAATAGAACCCACTTCTTTAATTAGACTCTTACTAAGCCTAATATGAATTGGTACTGTTGACGTCGTAAGTGCATGGAGAGCTCACGGTACTGCGGATAAGGGTGCCAAGACAGCTTGGGACAATGACGTCGTCGTGGGGCAGCAGAGGTCATGAAAAGCAGCGGACCGGAAGCAACCCCTCAGTAATAAGAACAACGCAACACTCACCTCACAAAGCAGTCAAAGTCTTCAAGCTTCAACACTTTCAGTGAGTTCGTTCATATCTTTGTTAGTCTCAAGCAGGCAGGACTAACAGACTATTAGACCGCCAACAAACACCTTTCACCAACTGTAAGCTCAATCCGTCAATCCGGCACTCCAACACCTCCACTGAAACCGGTCCCCCTATTCTTTCCATCACTATCATCTTTCATCCCTTCTCAACATCATCCTAACTCAACACGTAGCAAACACTTAACCCCAAACCATAACAATGTCCGCACCAAACCCCGGCCGCCAATCCCCCGACCCAGAGCGCCAGTCCGGAGCTCAACAATCCGACCCCTCAGCTGCCAGCCCTAACGATCAAGGCGGCGCTCCTTCCCAGGGCAATGCTCAAACAAACAGTGATGACACCAAGTCGAAGCTGGAATCGAACCCAGTGCATCCTCTTGCTGCGGCAAGCGAGGAGAAGACAAGCAAGAATAAATAAGGGTGATGGAGCGTAGGGTAGGGAGGGGTGTATCTGTGTTATGGAATCATAGATCACTCTACAGGCAGGAACATGAGAAGGTTTCTTCTCTTTCGAATGGGGGCACTCTGTATTTACTTTACCGCGATGGTTTGTGCCAATGCAAATGATATGATGTAATACCTGCATGTGTGTTCCTCCCCAGCTCTACCCAGCACTCGTTGCAAAACATGATTGAGAATTACTATGTATAGCACACACTAGGGGTTAATAACTCATCTTAGTGAGACATGTACTTATCTGGAGTGGATGTTTGCGATAATGTATTCTTTGTCGTCCGCCCCTCTGCGGCTTCATTCCTGGCCCTTGGTCGTTCATGCCGCCTACGTATGTGCCCACCCGCGCAATGGGCTTAGTTAAACCTGTATAACAATAACAGTAACGCGGCTGCGGAATGGACATACCTAAAGGGTTTAAATCGATGATAAGCTTCTGCATAATACCCACTGTTGACAGTTATGTTATTGCGCCCCCAACCAATCATGCCTCGCAGTCACTACCCCACCACCTCACCGTTCTTCTTTACTTGCGGCAATATCTCACCGACCCCACTCTGCAAATATTTAAATTTGGATTATAAATTTTTAACGTATATTTTCACCCATCGAACAACATAGGGCACTTGGTCTAGGGGTATGATTTGTAAGTCTCAAAGCAAAAACACTCAGTTTGAGTAGTTTACTAACGAGTATTCAGTCGCTTCGCATCTTATATATGCATATTGTGAAAGGTCGTGGGTTCAATTCCCACAGTGTCCAGATCATTATCTTTTTGGCGTTTTGAGGGTAGAATGGAAGTGCGCGATCCCTGCTTTTTATTTAGCGAAATTGTATTCTCTATTTTGCCGACCATCTAGTGCTCTTGGGATATTTATTTTATTGCTTTTTACAGTATTACATCTTTAGATGTATATAACTGGACGGTAAACACTCCAACATATTCTAGCATTCTGCCCTATCTATATCCAGTCCTGTGCGAATCTCCTTCTCAAGACAGGACTACAGAGCTCCAGTAGATCTTAAAGGAGAAGAGAATGGAAAAGGCTGCTGCGCAACGGCTGCTAGAACAAACCAAACATATTTAAACACTTCCAAGTTGCAGGGGCTATTGGAGAAGAAAGAATAGGGGACCGCCCCCTTCCAACTAACCCAAGCTGTGTCTTATAACCCCTCTACTGTCCAAATGGCAACATTGGCAGAAACCGAACAGTTACTAGTAGTATAGATAGTTTGTGAAAAATTCACTATAGCTAGATTGGAATAGTATAATATGAGAAAAAGGCAAAGGGCTGGGACTCTAAAGGGACACTCATTTAGAGTCGGTTTTACTTTGCTCTAAGCATTGATATAGAGAGCATGCCTTTCTCTTTCTATTTGTAGAATGTGAAAACGTAAAATGTATATTCCGAACCCCTTAGAGCGGATATTTTTTTGCGGGTGCTTTTAAGGGAGGCGATAATGAACATGTAGATTAGAATGATATTCCATACGTCTACTTTAGCACCCCTCTACTCACTTAAATGCTCGAAAGCCGGGCCTCCTTACATGAAAAATTCATCCCCCGCCGGGCACACAAACGCCTTGTGATACCCCACCCTCCTGCCCAAACAGCGCCGCACTCGAATGCAGCATATCATGCCTCTCCAGCGTTTTATGATAAACCTCCAACACCACCAGAACTCCGGCTCCTCGCCCTCGATCCCGACTAACCCTATGTTGATGCGCAAGTCTATAGCGCCGAACCATACGCAGTCGATGTTGGCGCTGAATTTGCTATCGCTGAGGATGACGTCGAGTGTTTGGATACCGAGCACGGATTCTATTTGGATTATTAGAGCGGCTTGGGAGTTTTGGGATTTGAAGACGAATTTGGTGGGTTGGATGGTTGGGCGGCGAGGCCGTAGAAGAAGCAGAAGGGGTTCCGCCCGTTGGCAGTGCCGAATTTCATAGCGGAGATTATGGACCGGGCTTCGGGGATTGTGTCGACACGGGGGCGATTATGGAGGCACCGGCATCCATGGCGCGCATGATACTGGTATGCATGTGGTCGGGGACGCTAAGGAGAGAGTTAGTGGTGCAGAATAGGGGAGAATAGCGGAGGATAGCGGAGGAGAGGGAAGACTGACCGGACGAAGGCCATGGTTTGTCCCTCACTTATGGTTTGGTTCTCCTGGACGATCTGGTATATTATTAAACATAGTCACAGCCATCAGGAGCTAAACATGAAGGCCATACCGTAGTCATAATTTCACTATTCATCGTACTGTGCTCCCAGTCCACCCATATGACATCGGCGTCGAATTGCGCCATGACCGGACAGGTTGGGATGGTGGGATACCACAGAAGTACCCTATGAGAGGTGGGATCTTTCCTCGTAGGCATTTTTGAGTGTTTGTCGAGCTTTGTGGGCTTGGAGGAGGGATGGCACTCCAGGCTGCCATTCCCTTTTCTAATACATCTTTGTATTCAGAAATCAATTGTGTATGTTGAGGTTATGGAAATGAAAGGATTGGGTTGGGATAGTTGAAACCAAATGAAAATAGAGACAGAATCAGGTTGCTTTTGGATAGTTTTGAGTATTCTCGGTGACGCAGGATTCATACATCTTTTAAGTCTAACTTCAAGCTTAAACGGGGTGCGTCGGATCATCGAGCCGTTTACAGTGACGCAAGATCCAGGGGCGTGCTGTGTAGCACTGCAGTACAAGGTCTTTGATCTTGTACCTCACGATAACCTTTACACAAAATAGGGAACGTCTATAAGGGTTCCCAGTATGGAATATCAGGTGAAGTCTTTCCCAAGCAGAGTAGCAGGTATGTGTCGATTCAATCCCAAAGCTGACATTGCTTCGAAGCATGTTACGCCCCAAGTCTTCAGATATCAAATCATGGCTCGTATACACGAGTGAAAACCGGGCATGCTACCAATTTCTGATTTTTGGTCTGGATTAATGTGCATGAAGCAGGCAGGGTAAAATTGTACTCTGATAAAGAGTATAGAAATGAACTCTGAGAAGGAGTATAGAAATGAATAGTGAGAGGGCAATTGACCGAGAACAGAGGAAATATCGAGACGAACCGCGGGATTTGGAAACTGTAGCCCATTCTAACAATCATTAACCCCTATTAACTATTTTCCAGTGTGTAGCGAGGAACTTCGACATGTTTGTCGCTGACGGTACTCTTTCAAGTTAGAGTCTAAAGTTCCACTCACCGCTCTACCCACACAAAACTGACAACAAACTGACCTCCCTAAAGCCGACCAACAGGAGTGATTCTTCAGTGGATACTCAATCGTTTAAGCTCCACAAAGTTCTACAGAAAGTAGTGTTTGCTTAAGCCTACTATTCTCGACATATGTTAGAGGAAGCTAGAGTTTATAGCATAGATAAATACTGACCATACGAAAGTCTGAGGTTTAGGACATATACTTTGGACAGCAGCCGCAATTACTGGTACATTTCGTTCAGTATGAGATTAGTCTGCGGATATCTAGGATGATGAATTGGACAGACAGTTGTTATTCGATTAATCATACCTTCATCACATTAAGGGTGTTTAAAGTCCGTCATGGTATTACTGATCTGAAAAGCTCGACATATATTTCGCCTGTCGGAGTTAAACCAATGTCAGAGGAGATGAAGACATTGGATGTTGAACATCCTCAACACCAAAATCGGCGCTCGGACCATCAGCGGCTCGACCTGCCGCAATCGGCCCTGCAACATCTCGACTTCGAAGCTCTTGAACAAGCTTATGCAGCGAGAATTGCATCACCAATTGACGCACCTTATCCTCCTACTTAGATCCGTTATTGAGCTTCATTGACCTACAGCTTGTCTTACGGTCTTTCTAATCCCATTCTCGAGAAGTCAACACCAGCACCCACAGTAATCCACTCCAACTGTCTCTCTTTCGAATGCGACGCCACTGAAGCCCGCAGGACGAGCCCAGCGATTATACAAGAGTACTTCTTTCATTCAAAGTTTTCTCGGCGTCTGTACCGTGTTTATTAGACTACCTTGTGGTTTCCCTAAGGCACCCAGTTGAGTCGTTCGAGCAAGAGACGGTAGACACTCGCAGCTATGGTGGGGAAGAAATCTGGAAGAGCCCTGCTCAGGGAGGAGGGTAAGGTGATTTTTTGACATCCTGAAAGGAGAATACTGATGCTGTTTGTAGGCCTCGAGAGAACGGACAATAATCTAGATCTCACGACATGGCCTCAGGTCAATATGATCAACCAAAAGAACTACTACACGTATGTCTTATGGCCTTTCACAAAAATCTTTTTGGAAACTTGCTAACTTCCGCTCTTATTCAGAGAGTTCTTAAAGCGCGATGATCAATACCTCGCATACCGTAGCCAGACGGAAGAGGTTCGAAATCGGATGATACGAGAAGCTCGGGATAAAGACCGGGCCATGGCGCAAGGAGTTCAGGCAGACGATTCGGTGATGGATATGGACGACGCTGGGGCTGAAGATGTTACCGTCTCGAGTGGGTCAAAGGAAGCCTACGCGTCAAAACTCATAGTCCTCCATGTGGGCAGTCAAAACCTCCGGATTGGGCTGGGAACCGATGCACTGCCGAAGACCGTGCCCATGGTCATCGCACGGAAATGGGATCAAAACGAGTCCGAGGAGGATGGAGGGGAACCCAGGCCAAAACGTCTCAAACTCGATGGAGTTGTCCCGGACGCCGCCCACCCAGAGAAGTGGTTTGGTGAAGATGTGAGCATACACCTATCCGGTTAAATATATGTTATTGTCTAACCGGTTGTCTAGTTTCGTAGCCAGTACCAAACCATGTGCTCCGAACTAAGGGTCCGGATGCGCAATAACAAGCGGAGAGTCCTGCCCAACTCTAAAGACCTCGTGGTCAATTACAATCGACGAACACCACCCGAGACAATATCAGAGCATAACGACCCTAATAGGATCGAGTGGACCGAACTTCCAGCGGATCCCAAAAAGGCGCCTGATTTCTTTACCGGTCATGCGGCTCTCCGGATACCTGAGGCGTCTAATCCGCGGTACAAGCTTTTCTGGCCGATTCGAAATGGAACGTTCAACGAGCGGGATTACCGTGACCGCAACCAGATCTATCATGATATCTCGAGAATTTTCGAAGAGGCATTCAAGTCTCAGTTGGGTATATCCAACCCAAAAGACTTGGCGAACTACAACTGTGTGTTCATCATCCCTGATCTCTATGAACGCGTCTATGTAACCATGATGTTGGATATCCTTATCAGGGATCTTGGTCTGGGTAAAGTATGCCTACAGCAAGAAAGCCTTTCCGCGACCTTTGGGGCTGGCGTCTCAATCTCATGTATTGTGGATATCGGGGCCCAAAAGACTTCGATATGTTGTGTAGACGAGGGATTGTGCATCGAAGACTCAAGAATCAACCTTAAAATGGGCGGAGAGGACGTCACAGAAACATTCGTCAAGATGATGATCTCTGACCATTTCCCGTATGCGGATATGAACCTGAAGCGGAGATACGACTTCCTGTTAGCAGAAGATCTGAAGCGAAGGTTTTGCACCATGGACGAGGCGAGCATAACAGTGCAGACCTACGACTTTCATTTAAGGGCTGCGGGCCAAGACACGAGGAAATACTTTTTCAAGACCTACGACGAGACGATGCTCGCCCCTATGGTATGTCAGTTATTCTGTACTACACTACGTAAACCTAACACGCCCACAGGGATTCTTCAAGCCGGCAATATTCGACCATTCGAAAAAGCTGGAATTC